AGTTTACCAGACATGTTGCATCCTGTACTTTTTGTACGACCTTTAGTTTTTGGGTACATATATGCAAAACAACACATTCACTAAAATGGCCGTCAGAATTGACAAAAGTTAAAATTGAAAATTTAAATTAAAAAAAAAATTGAATATCTCCGAAAACATCTGATGGCTAAAAAAACCCTTATGGTAATATCCCGCAAATGTCCGAAAAACTTCATTATCTCACTGTTTTCAAACAGTCCATTCAAAAGTAGTAAAGATTGTTAGGATGCACAATTTAATAGCATATTAGGCAACAAGTGTGACATACGGCATTTAAAACACGAATTTATTTGGGACAAGCGGAGTGAGTGTTTAATAAAGAGTAAAAAGTTTACCAAATGTATTGCATACTAAACTTTTTCTACTACCGTTCTAGACCGTCAGAATTGGCAAATGTCAAAATTCAAGAGGTAATATTCCGAAAATGCCCGAACTGGCTCGGACACGTGGAACACGAAACTTCTGTATACACTATTGCTAAAATATTAATTGGTCACGACAAGACAATACAACATCGCTCTATTAACCTGAGAAAGAACTTTGTTTGAGCAGTAGATAAAACAACAGCAATTTTTGTGAAAATAACGGCTATATTTTAAATTCACATATAAAATAAATAATATAATATACCTATTATCACAAATTAACTCATCCTATAAAAGTTTAAAAGTGGATACACATGTTTGGACATTTTGTACATTTTTTTGAACGTGTTATTCTGCTGCATGCTTTTTAATTTACTGACACCACAAAAAAAAATTTATTTGCTCCGTTGTCAGGTAAAAATTCGACAAAGTCATTTTGTCATAACGAACTAATCTTATAGCAATAGCCTTAGACAGGAAGAAGAAATATATTGTAGCATATAACTCAAATTCCACCGCATATATCTTTTATATCATGTTCGAATAACACTAAAATTTAATACGTACGATTTAATAAATGAATCCAACAAGAAACGAAAATACTGATATCACTGCATATCAAAAACTCAATAATACACAACAGAGAATACTTTTATTATTATTTTTATTTTATATTTATTATTTATTATTTAATTATTATAATAAAGATAAAGATTTATTTCCATAAGACTCGAGTTACAATAGTTGGATATTGTCAGTATTATACAAATATAAATAATATAAAATTATTTTATTAAAATAATTAATAATCATAATGAATAATAATAATATATATAGTCAATAACAAACAACGAATACATATTAAACGGTATCACAAGAAAGAAAATCCCTAATATTGTAATATGCGACGCGTAGCAATTTGTTTTTACAAGTGCATTTGAATTTTGTTTGGCTAGCTCCTTCAGTTCTATGGGCAATTTATTATAAATTTTTACGGTCAAAACAACAGAACTATTTGATATCGGTGTTTAGGTAATCTCAACTATAACGAGAGTAAATGTTATTTTACTCTTGATCACCTTAGGCCAGAGGAATTTGATTCAGTCGAAAAAAATTTGGGTCAAATATTTCAATCTCGTTTTCGGGGTACCGAGTATTGTTTCGAGTAAACAATCGAACAATTTACATTTTAACGTGTTGATTAAAATTATTATAACCACAACATTAATTAAAATGGATCTGTAGATGTTTTTAATATTTGATTTGATTAACTGTTGGCGTTCGATTCGAAATAAATGGAGTATGTCCCCTAGAAAAGCGTTCGGCTAATTAGATTTACATAAAGTAGAATGTCGGTGATTAGTTTAAAAATATAAAGGATTAGCAGAATTCGTAACGTATATTTAGGGCAATCGTTCTTCAGCCTTAGGCGCTGATGAATTACACTTTTAATTGCTTACAGATAACGATCTAAACTATAACGCAATCTCTAAATGTGAACAAATTGAGAAATTTTATAAGAAAAGTCCGTTTAATAAAACAACACATACGTGGTTTTAAAATACCGTGCTACTTGTTCGTTAATCGCTATAAAATTATAAGCAGATATTATTAATTGTTTATTTTTCCGCTAATTTTGCGTTTACGCCACAAAAACCACTCGGAACACCTGTAAATGGTTCCAGTTGTTGCCTGAATAACGTTATTTTTGACGGAAATTACATTACGAAATAACGATTCTTCCAAAAATAAAACTAGATCGAAGAGTGTCTTTGACTACCTTGACCAAAGGTGAAAAATAATTTGGAAAAAAAAAGTATTTTTACCTTATTTTTAAACAGAAAAATTGACAATACAAGCACTACTGGTATTTGGCAATAAACCTAAACCTAAACTACTAACATTTTCCTAATTCTAAAGCTCCTTTTATTTTTTTAACTTTTTTTAACATCGCAAGTGTGTTTTCGAATCTATTTTTCTTTGTAAAGCTTGCAAAAAAATCTAAGCAAAGCTTAGTAAAATCTCCATCAGAAACTTAGAAAAAAGGATTTACTTTACTAAAAGAATTTAAAAAAATTGTGCCACTGCCTGCCCCTTTTTTTTGCATAACTCCAAACATTGCATTTAGGGGGTATTTGTGTAAGCGTAATTACGTTTTTAGAAATTTTCCAGAACATGTGAACTAAGATTCTTTCAAAAAATTAGTTATTACATTACTGAGAAATTGAAACGCATTCATTTTGCACTGAGTTTTATACACATAAGGTCTGTTCCCACATCAAATCACGAACTTGTTACTTGCATGTCAAGAAATCGGAAACTACTGCTCTATCACGTATGTAATTAGACTTAAATTTATTAGGGGTTGCATAGATTAATCTTGATATGCAGTTTACTTAATCTTAAATAATATAGAGGAAGAAGAAACGCCAACCGACTCTTTTAGGTTAACTAACTGGTGGTTATTACTTCCTTTTCTAGAATCATAATTTATCATTAAAAATCCATATAAATATTCCCATTATGCTGAAATTTAAGAAATGTGTGATTACAAATCCTATCACGTTTATTAGTATGTATTTAATTTTGGAGTCAGTTTCGGACAAGTGAACATTCACATTCATTTGAGGAATACATTTTTAATATTCTCGAAAACTGTCTTTTTTAATTTCATTTCAACTCATGTGCAGCAATTTCAAATTAATGTGCAAACAAACCGGGTGTTATTCTGCGGGTCGTACGGTTTTTCAGCGACAAACTTTCTACTCTGTTTTTCTCTTATCTCTTTTCAGTTTTGAGACTTTGACAATTTTAAATGACAATATGGGTAATAAAAAGCAATTTTCTGGTTTCTTGCATCTCCAAGCAAACTTGGTTAACTATTTTGAAAATGAAACAGAAAGACTTGCGTTGCATCGCATTCCGAACTTTCATTGTTATAGCTTCCTGACATTTTCGAGTGATTATTTAGTTAGGACCTATTCGGAGTATTTATTGTTCAGTAAAAGCTGAAAATGTCTCCAGTACTCCTCTGATAGGCCACAATAATGGATATAATGTTTACAGAGCGATTGGTCAGTCGTAAGGGCGTGCCAGATCACATGTCGCGTGAGCGATGAACTTTTTATTGTTTAGTTTAGTATTTAGTTAAGAGGCTGAGTGGAGATATTTTTATCGTAAATTTAATTCTCTAAAAAAATAGGTCTCCTCGTACTCTTTTGTATCTCGCTTAGTTTTTGAGATAGAGTGAAAATAAAAAAATGCAAATATTTTTTTACATTCAAGCGTGAATATCTTTACAGTTATGCAAAATATAAGAGACTGACGAGACATATAGAAAATAGGTCTCTTTACATTCTTTCGTGTCTCCCTTAGTTTTTGAGATATAGTGAAATTAAAAAAAGATGTAAATATTTTTTACATTCATTAATAATAACAAGTACGAAGGATATCAAGTGCCACAATTTATTAGGGATATGCTTGCCGATACTAAACTCTAACTAAAGCAGCAAAAATGATAAGATCACAAGGATTCAGGTATGCAAAGGATATGGTAAATATAAAAGAAAATTTATTACATTTTTCTAATCCATTTGTTTCAATTTTATAGATAAGCAGTCCCGTGCATGGAAGGATCTAGATTCAGCAGAGGATGAGGAGAATGATTCCGACTGACTTTTTATACTTATATTTATAGTTTAAAAAAACTTGTGCGTAGTTGCACAATGTTTAAATGTCAAGAGACCTTTTTTTAGGGAATTGAATTTTCTGCAGAAAATATACTTAGTCGTTCTCTTAGTTTGTACTGTTAGATATTCACGTTTTAATGTAAAAAATATTTGCATATTTTTTTTTACTATGTCTCAGAAATTAACGTCATACGAAAAAATGTAAGGAATTCGATTTTGTAGAGAATTAAATTCATTACAACAAATATATCCAATTTTCTTATATTCGCAACGATAGCTCACTTTGAAATGTAAAAAATATTTGCATTTTTTTTCTGCTATATCTCAGAAACTAAGCGAGATACGAAAAAATGTCAAGAGATTGATTTTGTAGAGAATTAAATGTACAAAAAATAAAGCTATGCTGAAATAAACATAAGCACATACGGGATATTCAAGTCGTTCTGCCAGAGTGTTAATGCCGCCATTTTGTTTTGCAAATTGACACTTACACTTAAAACAGTTGCAAAAACCTTCATATGACATGACATATGACTGGCCTATCGTTCTGTAATTATATCCATTATTGTGGTCTATCAGAGAAGTACTGGCAGGAATTTCAGCCTTTATTGAATTATCAAAAGATGCACTTTTTTATGTTGGGGGCGTTCTGCCTCCACTTGTGAGTACAATCACAATATTTTTTCTTCCGATATTTAAAAATTTTAATAGGATTAACAAACATATCGATATCAAGAAAATAATTATTAAAATTAAATATAGTTTGAAATATGGTGAATTAAGGGTTCTGTTTTATGCTGGTTTGTTAGTGGTCAATATCAAATAGACACAGCACTACGTAAAATGTTTGTGACATTCAGACCCGCATGATTTGACTGAATTTGACTATTTTTTTTTACATACTCACGTTGTGCTTAACCATATTGGATCGCACTTTTCATTTCCCTGCTCCAGTTGAAAAAGTGAAAGCTGACTATAGATAGAGTGTCGTCATTATCACACTCAAAGTCGGAATTCTAAAAAAAAAAAATAAAACCATTAAAAAATAAAAATTTTATTTCGAAATACAAGGTATCGAATATTAAACATAAAAAGCAACGGTACATGCAGGTAGTGTTAAGACCCGATGACTTTTTACCTGTTAACTCTCGGTATAATTAAAACGTTGACGGTCCCCGCAGTTAATGTTATATTCCCATCATTGAAAGAAACTTTCTACCTCTCTAGTTTGTTTTTAATTAAACCTAATGCGGATAATTACAATTAAACGTCAATTTGTACGGGTCATCGCTTGGATAATTGATATAATGCGTTAATGCCTTGGAGTCGCTTGTGGTTTTGCAAATCTGCTATTAGATTGCGCAAAGTTTCCGTTTTTATTTAGATCGGAAATGAAAAAATAATTATAATGCATTATTATGGAGCCTACGCCTACGACGTCTCAAAATTGAAACACAACCTTATAATGTTTACTATAGTTTTTAATATAACACAATCTAAATAAACTCGGTGCGAAGTGATTAGAAAAAATCTACTCTCACATCAATATTGGTAAAAAATTAACATTAACAATAAATTTTAACACATCATGTTTTTAGATCAACCTCAAGAAGCAATAATTTCAAGGGATAATCAAACTTAATATACTGTATTAAAACAATCAAACAATAAGGACGATCAATTTGTTTTACTTGAGAAACTTACTAGTATATCGGATTTTAATTCATAAATTCTCACCATAATTAACTGTCCACCCAAACACAATCCAGACCAATTTAAACTCTGCTTTAGCTATTAGGCTATCAAAACTTACAAAAATTCCTTCTGCAACCTATATCAGTCACCTCATTATCTACTTTTAAACAAAAACTAAAAATATTGTTTGTATGCTGCGAATGCGATAGTAGAAAATCATTTTCAAGTGCAATATTCTCTTAATTTGGGTAGCAATTGGGTAGCAAAGGATAGTCACCTTACTAGACCTTGCAAATGCATCTTATTTAGCAAAAGTTGATTTCGAAACCCGGGACAGAATGTGGTTAGTTTGGTTGCGCGTCAGAGCAAGACCACAACCCAGATAGCTCGGGACATCCATTGCATATGTTAAATTAGTCCATACATAATGCATGTAGTAAAAGAAACTCTCACGACTTTGAATGAACAATTTGTATAACTTCTGGATACATTGAACAATGACAATACAAAGCAAAGCATACCAAAAGCTAATTTCAAAATTCTAAGAACATATTTTTGTGTCATTGGTTCAAAATTTGCAAATCAAAACCAGCCCGATATCTGTTACGTTAAAGTAAAATCGAATCGATCGCACTATATATATTTTATTTATATTTATTTTTTGGAAACAGCCACTTAGAATTATGTACGTATGAATACACACGTAACCAAAAAGTAGATTCCATATAATTTGGTTAAACCTTAACATCTTAACCACAGAATTCTCGTCATACTATTTTGTTCGTGCTATTTTATTATTGTATGAGGCTTGTAGGAATTCTTTGTGTAAGTACAGATGAATTATTACTAGTATGCCTAAAATTAATCTGAACAATTACAGACATGCTAACGCATCTATAGACATGCAAACAAATTGTTCCTGATCATGATCAAATTTAACTTTTCGCCCTGGAAATAGTTCTCTAAAAAATGAGGCTAAAATTAATTAATCATTCCAATGAAGATTTAAATATAAAGGAAGAATTCGTAACAATACAAGTCATAGGTAGGAGAGAATTCTTCAGATTTTTATCGAGATTCGGCGTTAAGATTTGTTAGACCTCATATTGCTCTTAATAACTTATAGCCCTAGTCTACTATTAGAACGCTTTTGGTAACTCCAAGACCAAGACAAATTTTCATCAAAAATCCCAAATAGAATAAGGTCATACAGTAATCTACATTTAATTGAAATTTCAATTTTTCAAAAATGTATGCGTATGATGGGACCAAAATGAATTTTTTTTTCAAACAGCTACAGATTAACTCGGTTTTATAAAGTAAGTTATGGTGGCACCCACATCTTCACTTTTCTTTCATTTCTAAATGTTAATACATTTTCAACATTTTTTTCATTTTGTATATATTTTGAAACTTATTCAATGACTGCAATACAAAACAACACATATGATTGTTAGAAAACGGTTACTGGTTCAAATATTTTATTATGATTTTCAGCAATGTAATGGTGCGATGAACAAACGTATGAAGATTAAAAAAATATATTTGTAAAATTTAATCCAGAATAGGCCTGCTTAGTCAAAAATGGCAAACAGTGCGTTACAAAATAGTTATGGTTAATTAAATTCAACACAACACCGGATGTGGCGCCCTCTAAATTTTAGCAAAAAACAAATTTAGTTTTTAGTAACATACCTAGTATCTCAAATTTTATCTATTCGAACAAAAATATAATCGAAAACCAAATAAATTAGTTCATTGGGACGTCATAGGTTTTTTTATAATAATAATAATAATGTGACTTTATTGTATTTTAAAAAACAATAAAACGAAGTGTACAAAATCTGAAAAATCAGGTGTCTACAGGTTAAAATGCGGATCTTGTCCTAAAATTTATATTGGACAAAAAGGTAGATCCTTCAAGAAACGCATTAACGAACATAAAAGAGCGTTTAGAAACAATAGTCTAGATTCCAATTACGCTACACACTTAAACACAGAAAAACACATTTTTGACGACAATTTTGATATTTTACATACAGCCACAAAAAGTATAAAATTGAATTTATTGGAAGCCATGGAGATTAACAAAATGAGACAGTATTGCTTAACGATCAATTAGATTTAAATACCTTTCCTTTATTGAACTTAAATTCCCACAACAACATTAATTAAGATTATTTTTCGTTAAATATAATAGCAGGTAGTTTGCAAATATTACATTTGATAAAGATACGGTGTTGTCGAAACAATTGTTATGTGAATATATATAGTTTCGTGAAAATCTGAACTTTTAGTTCTTATTTATTTTGTTAAATGGATTTTCATCAACTAAAAGCCACCTCAGTTGAATGGAAGAAAAAAAGTCCACATCCCCCTTTTTAAAGATTGCACCAGTACTTAATTAACACCCCGTGTATTCATTCGATATTAATACTCACCCCAAACGTTTGTAATCCTTAAAAGCAACGAATTTATCGTGTGGGAGTTTCGTCCAGTTTATGAGACCACATCGAAATCTGTAACTTGATAAAAAATGAAAAGTTAAGCGGATTTCGCGGCCAGAGTTTCAAAGAAATCAAGCGCGATGGGATACGAGCGTGCGAACCGAACGAAATCTGAAGCACCTATTGCCGAGTACCACTCTGACCGACAAAATAGTGATGAAGATGCGACCGAAAGTTTTATAAATGACGACCTACCTTTACGGAAAACCTCTGCATCGCCCGGATATGGGGGCAAACGCTATCGGCAGATTCACTCTTACGTCGGGAATGCGCGTGAAAGTGAAAATGAATTAAGTTTAGACAAACATGCCCGTATTTTGTTACGAGTAGATATACACCAGTTAAGTGACATGTGAAATATAGGGGGTGTTTGTAAAAGTTAATCGTTAAGGAATTAAAAATGCGCTCAGAATAGTATAAAAAAAGTTTATGATAGCTCTATTGCCCATGGCAAATTTATTTTCCCAGACCATGTTTGATGTCGAGAAAGAAACAGAATAGAAATAGTCAAAAGTTACTACATTAGTTGGTTAACTAAAAACAAAGACGATATAAAATTAATATAAATCCTTAGACTGTGATTATTCTTTATTACTACTATGCTATAAAAACAATTTCGATAATACTTTCAATAAATTTAAAAAACTCGGCTGAGCTAAGGAAAAGACATATTTATTTATTTTAACAAAGAGTAATAATGGTTACCTAACTAACCTAACATAACCATCAAGTCTTATAAAAAATAAGAGGAAAAGACTGAAATTTATAATTATATTTAATGGGACAATAACGTTTTTACTTTACTAATACATTGCAAAAAACTCCCAACATTGAGAAGATAGGTGAACATTTTAGAATATTTGTTATTGGTATAGATAGAATGAATCAGAATAGAATAGAGCGATCACATAACCAAATCTATTTATACCACACATATTTCAAAAACTTACGCTGAATCTTTTCCGGTCTATTCATGGAGACAATTATAGCCAGGAGACCCACCTACAGATGCACCCGTTAACTTTGACCTGTCGCATGAGTTATTTTTTACTTCTGTATTGTTAAAGTATCTAGTGCAACTTACAAAAAATCCATAACTTTTTGAGGCATCTGCCAGTACCTTATTAACACGATGAACAAAAAAAGTATAATTCCGAGCTTGCAATTTGCGATCTCGAGCCTTTTTTGTGTACAGGAGCAATTTTAGATATTTTCTATATACCACAAATGGCTTGATTTTTCCGACAGAGATTAAAAAGTATTACAAGCGTTTTAGCCAAAACAAAGCGACATTCATGTATAAGGAATAAGGCTTAATTATTTTAATAATTATTTAATAATTTCTTTATGTTTATATTTTCAGAGTGGTATGAATTGCTAATACCATTAAAATTGTTGAAAGAACCCGCGTTGCACACAGTGCAAGTGCAAAAGTTGAGTTTATCTTGTCGAGTATGTAAATATCTGGCTACACCTGAGATTTTTCTTTTTTTTTTTTCAAATAATAGTTTTATTTATTTAATAACTTCAGATTTTATCCTGACCCAAGACATTTAATTTTTTTTAATTCTGAGGGACTACCTGTACTTCTGACATTTGTATATAATATTTGAATTAAACTTTTGATTAGCTGACTTTCCAAGATCCGGAAAGGAATAGCCAATCCAAAATTAAAATGGTTATCCAGCGACGTGGCAAGGACGCGTGTTCTTATTAAATTTCTAGGATTTTTTTCAAATCTTCCACAGTATCTGCTTTTATTATTATTGATCGGTACTAAGTAATTCTGTTTTAAGAAAATAAAGACAAAATGTCATTAATAGCTTATTGACTTTGTCTTAACTAACTATTATGTTTTAATAATAAAAATAATATTAAGTTCTGGTGTGTTAGATGTAATATCCAATGAAAATACAAAATACCGAGTATTTTGCAATAAACAACCAACCCAAATAAAAGCAACTATGTAAAGAACTTTATTTACATATAAGAAAAACAAAACAACCTATGTTTTAACGGCAAATTAAACTAAGTAAGTCAATACAATTAAAAATGTCCGGAGAGTCGATCTCTACAGCGTAGAATGTAAAGGTTGGAGTCCCTCAAGAATCCCGCTTTTATGTATTATCTACCCACTTAAATTTGAAAAATTATTTGACTAAAAATTCCTTATCCGCCATTGAAAAATTTATAGCTATCTTAAAAGAATTATAGAGTAAACAGGAAGTCATGCAATATTAATTCAAAGAAGACATCTTTGCTTATTGTGGGTACACATAGGAATGGAAGGAAAATAATTGAACAATTCTTTAACATATTTACAATTAGTATAAATCTAGATCTAATACATCGACTATCTTCAGCTCGTAACCTTGCCATAACATATAACAATAATTTGCGTTTTAAGACACATAAACAACCACGACTTTTATCAACCTTAAATTCATCTCTGTAGGTTCGATATGTCAAAATTTAATTATGGCAATGCTGTTTATGGAACTTGCATTGACCCTAATGACATCCTTAGAATTCAACGAAGACATCATAATGATAACCGCAACGCTTGCTAAAATATGCCAAATAAGAAATATGTTTTTGCATTTTATTTATTCCACAAAATAATTACTAATGAGGCTCCTCGCTATCTGTATAGTAAAATAACTTAGACAGGTCAATAAGGTAGTCACACCAATGCATAGAGTTGAATTTTTTAAACAATGTTTCAAAACACGACTGTCAAATACAGTGATATTTAGACATATACCAATTTCAAGAAACGTCTGCTATGAGAACAATGTCCTGTGTTATAAGAAATATATATTAATAATACGACAAATTTTCTTTTAAATAATGTTGCTCTATCTCAGCCAAGAGTTATGTTTCTTATATCAAATCCAAATAAAAACTTTTAGTGTGCTTATGTATCAGTTTTTTTTTATGATGTGAAACAGTCTACCTTTTTGGATATGTTATTGTTGCTGAAAAATAAAGACCTCCCTTTTATTCATTATTTATTTATTTAAAAAATGGCCCAAATATTTTGTGGAGGGAGTTGGTAGGTTGGAAACCTTCTGACTGTCCGCGAAGGAATATGAAAACCGATCTCCGATAACAATTCAGAGCAATCTATAAGAGGTCCTCATAAATATTAACTGAATAATAACACAGCTTAGATCTAATATAACGGAAGTAGAATACTTTTAGTAACCGTTCGCTTGTAAACTCACTAGCATTCCAAAATATCAACCCTAATATTATCAACGCACTGTTACAAGTTTGATTGATATGGATAGCAAATGAAAGCTTGGTATTGAACTATTATATTGACTAGATAATAATCAAAAGCAATACAACCAACCCGATTCGAAAAACTAATAGAAAAATATTTGCCAATGTACAAGAGAAGTCAACAAATTGAAGATCCCTCTGAAGAAAGCGACTGTGTCGTGTTGGGTGAAATATCACTCACTGTTTCATCAACAAAAAAATTTACTGTATTCCAGTATAACAATGAAAATGAAAATTCACGTTTAAAATGTTGAAATGTGTGTATTCTGCGTGTTGCCGCCTGCGCGGGGAAAAACTCCGCGAGCGCTCTACATAGCACAGGGTCGGACTGTACAGCAGTCATCTTGATTACGGACAACTTTAAATATTTTCACATAATCGAAAAATAGTGATAATTTACTCGATATATTATAAAAATTATTAATAAAAATGGAAAATATGACGTATTGAACTCAGTCTGTCAAGTACGATTTAAAGAAAAAACTGTTTTTTTTGTCAAACCCCATTTCTAAAAGATGGTGGAGAAAAATCATGGTCAACTCTATAGAAAATTTCTGAGAAGTCCGTATGTGGGTGATCCTGTTTTAACTGTGATTTTTTATGTCTTGTTTGTTCTCACTCATCATAATCTGATAATGAAATTTTTGCATTAATTAGATCACGATTATAAAATATAATGTATCATTTAGGGAGAACCTAGAATATATAAGCTAATAACAGTACCGTGTCGTGTTCATTTCTAAAATTTAAGTAAAAATTTTTAATTTTTTTAATCCTTTAACTCTTTTTTGGTTAATGGTTTAAGTTAACACTGAATTCATGTTCGATAACTTTTGTTTTAACATTAAAAGAATCTACCTGGATATTTATGAATCGTCTAGTGAATCATGTTGAAAATACGTCATCCAACTACTGTTGACAAACATGGAGTTGATGAAATAGTGCAAAGAGTTTATATGATTGTAGAATTCATTTTTTAAAAAGTTGTTTCCAGTTCTTGATGCTTTGAAAATTGAAAATAGATGAATAATATGAATTAAAAATTTCAAAAGTCTACCTTTAAAATCTTGTAAACTTTAAATAAGTTGCATCAAATTGAGTGAAGCGTGCCAAATTACTTAGTGGAAAAAAACATGCTGAACTTCCGCTCTTCATTTTTTTTATAATGTAGATTCTGGCTTATAGTTCAAGATTTCACTGTTAGTTGTTGTATTTTTGAAGACCGGGGTTATTTCAGCTATTAGGAAAGGAAGATGGCGCAAGACTTCAATATAATTTTTGTAACTCCGTTCTGCGTTAACTTATCAAAGAGACGCAAACTGATCTAACGGAACTAACCAAAACTCACAAATTTTGATATATAAAGTCGATATCCAAACTTTTTTTTTCCATTTCGAAAACATTTTGCCTTTTCTTATAATTTTTTTATTTTCGGCTAACGTTATCCATTATGGAAGGAAACGGGACGGAAATTAAGCTGATAATCACGATAGGTCACGAACGTAGTTTTGGCACTTTTATTCTTTCAAATCAGGTTAATAAAAGAGAAATGGCCCCGGTATGTCGATTTCCAACGCATATGTTATTTAAATCACATACACACGGGCAGCGGCCTCTTATTTTCGCAAGAGCAAGATAAATATGCGCGAGCCATAGAAGTTTCTTTCTAAAACGATAAATATTTTGCTTACGTATATCGTACGCGACGAAACAATTATTTTATGGTAATTTCTTTGATTTGAATATATCGGCAATAAGCGTGCGGTTTTCCGTTTCGGTGTATTTTATTCCAACAAACATGATTTAATTAATAATTTCGCAACCGCAAGCAGAGTTTAGGGCGGGAAGTCAAATATAATTTTTTTTCTCTCACCCGTTCTTTTGGTACATGGTTTTCGCCGTAAATTTTAAAATTTCAAATGTAGGAATTTTGGCAGATTGAGGTTATTTTTTTACATGGTACGCCCAAAATTGGTCCGAATATTTATGGATTTCCTACTACTGACTCAAGACAAAGTGAAAACTAGTCTATCTAACTAACGAAAAGTACAACTGATATCTAAAAATGCAACAGTGCCAAAATCACCTTGTAGCTGAAAATCCAAGATTACTATGACATTTCTCTTTGTGTCGCATTTTAGCTGTGGATTATGAATGCTACAGCAGGTTAGCTTAATTATTCAAGTAAGCACGGCGTAAAACCATGAGATTGAAAAATAAGTTTAATTCATAAGTTGCTTGAGTAAATTTGGACTTTTCATTTATTACGTTTTCATATATACAGGGTGACTCGTTTCGCCGTGGCCACTACCAACTTTTGTTTTTCAAAGAGAATGCCCTGTATATTAACACTTATTTAAATAGACTTTTGAGAGTGACTTGATTTATCCAAGGTATTTGAATATTGTTTCAAATTCCCTTTCCGTATAAGAAAAATACTCTTGACTTTCTCATTTTTTCGTGCTATGTGCATTTATTGTTTCACTTGAGTATGTTTTGGTGAGTTGTTATGGACACAGGACTCCAATAACGGATTTCATAAGAAATTTTCATACATATTAATACAGGATACGCGAAAAATAAGATTAAAAATGAAATTAAAACAGCCGCCAAAAAGCTTTTCATGAATGGAAAATACGTATTTTTATAGTTTTGGCATATTTGGCAAAATAAAATAAAAATTCAGACATT